AGTGAAATTTTTTACTTTTTGTTTAACGTCAATATCGTGGGTTCTCCTAACTTAACGTTAAACTAGCAAATTCCATTCAAAGAAAAATCACTTATGGGATCAGGCAACATAATGATTTTAGGCTCCTATTTCCCTCTATCGCTGACTTTCGATGTGTTAAAAAAATTATTGGTCTTAAATAAGCCCAAAATTATTGCAATTTCGAAATTGCCAAAAAGTGAGAGTTTTTGATTTGTTGCTGTCATTTTGAAGGTGAAGCTAGGAGGACCCTCTAATTAAAGAAAAAAGCAACACATGGAAATTCGGCGATGGATTTGAAAAGGACCCGAAAAATGTCAATATTTTACATCTCTCCCACACTCACTCAAAAACAGCCGTAAGTCACCGCGTTCGGTAATCTGCAACCGATTTCTCTTTTTAGTTAGCAACGTTGCCACAGCACTAATACACGTTCACACAAATACGACGATGGGAATGCTATCAAAAATCATTGAACAATGGACCACAATCCAGGGTACAATTGTGGAATTGGCTTTTGTAGCCAAAATTCTTGGTGTCCATTTTTGAATTTTATTTTTATTTCCTCGTTCTTTATTAGTTCTATGAGTTTTTCTTCCAGCTGGGGTGATCCTGCTGTGTTGACATTCGAAAAAGGATCAACACCCAGTCCAGTGNGGCCATTTACAGTTATTCTGAACAGTGCTGATGAAACCCTAAAAATTCGATCGATGTATATAATATAAATATTTTTGGGGATCAAACTATAACGCAGAAAAATTATTATTTATCAGTCAAAGAGAAACTAGCTGATCTCATTAATAGTGGCACGACAATGAAGCAGTCAAGTATATAAATAACATTCCCACCATAGTCAACGTACCTGATAAAAAAACTGATTCCAAAATGTCGTACTATACCATATAACACAGATATTTACTCCAACATTCAAAGTCTATATGCAAACCTTGATCAGCTAGTTCACGATCTTGTTTGCCACCACCCCTCAGTATTACTTCTAAGAGAAACAAGAACTACTAAAGACATGGATATTACTGGAGTTTTATCCCAACACCAAACCGTTATTTTAAAACCTCGAAACGTGTTTCAATCATCAGGTGATCATCTTCAAGAGAAAGATTAAACTAAATATACGTAAAATGTTATCCTTATTTATATCACAGATGCCTCTGCTAGGTACCTCCGTCTTGAGTGTCTTAAATTAATCTCACAATGTTGCCCTATGTAGTAGTCTTAAATCAATTTAAGACGCAGGTACCTAGCTAACCTCAGCTACCTATCTATGGTATAAATAAGAATAACATTGTATGTATATTTAATTTAATCTTCCTCTTGAAGATGATCACCTGGTGATCTAAACACGTATCGAAGTCTTAAAATAACGGTTTGGTGTTAGGATGAAACTCCAGTAATATTCATTACTACACCAAAGGTTCCAAACAGTGCATCACAAAGGCATGGATGATTATCAGTGTGAAAGCAGCCACAAGTTCTAGCCATGGATTTGTTGAAGCGCCGCGCGAGACCAGACAATCAGCAGCTCCCAAAATGGGGATCAAATTCGTGGCCAGCAATGATTTTTACTCAATGACCTCAAAGAAAAATCGATAATACCTCCAAATCATGCGTGAATGGGGACTTTTTTATTCAAATATATTCATTTGAACATACAGAAAAAAACCCATATGTTCCAATATTTTATCAATCAACCCCCACCCCATATATTATAATTTATGAAGAAAAATCCATAATTTCTTTAAATNAATATTGCAAGAGTTAACCGAAGATGATTTTGATAGGCGAGTGGAGTTTTGTGAAATAATGACTGCAGCGATTAATGATAATACCATTCGTGTGAAGAATGTCTGCTTCACTGATGAATGCACATTTTATCTAAATGGATTTGTTAATAAGCATAACTGTAGGTATTGGAGCAATGAAAATCCGCATGCTTTTGTGGAAGGGCACACCCAGTACCCTCAAAAAATTAATGTATGGGCAGGCATTTTAGGAAACAAAGTGCTTGGGCCATTGTTCATTGATAGAAATTTAAATGGAGACATTTATTTGGATATGTTGGAAACTACTATCAATCCGCTTATCACTGAAACCATTGAAAACCAAATCGAAGAGGATGGAAACCCTACACTTGATGAGGCTCAGATATATTTCCAGCAAGACGGTGCTCCTCCTCACTATGTTCTTCCGGTTCGACAATGGCTAGACAACGAGTTTCCCGATAAATGGATAGGGCGAAGAGGGCCTATAGAATGGCCTGCTAGGTCCCCGGATTTGACGCCATTAGACTTTTTTCTATGGGGCCATTTGAAGTCCATTGTGTTCACTCCCCAACCTGCAAATTTGAATGAACTTCGTCAACGCATTATCGACAGCTGCCATGATATCCAACAACATGTATTTGAAAATGTCCGTCAGGAATTTGAACATCGCCTATATCATTGTTTGGCCACCAACGGGCAACATTTTGAACAATTATTGAAATAAAATGTAATATTTTTGTATGTATTGTTTCGAAAATTCCCAAATTAGGATCAATAATATTTTTCTAATTTTCTGGAAAACGAATCGACCGATTTGAAAAAAATAAACGTCATAATGAAGGACTTCGGAAGACTTTTCAAACAAGCTATCACTCGATACCCCTTGTCATTTAAAATTTTCAAGGAAATGATCCTGGGGTGCAGAGGGTGAAAGGGGGTGAAGTAGTTATTGGTTAAAAAGTTGTCCCCTTTGATGTATCTTCTGACGTGTCTCGGCGTTTTTTCTTTCAATCAGTAGTTTTCGATAAATCCGTGGTGGGAAGTTTTCAAATGAACACCCTGTATGTATATAAACAGTTTAGTTTTCAAACCTGCTGAAGCTAAGAACTGACAGTCGCGATTTAGAAGAGTATTTAGAAGAGTATTTAGAAGAATATTTTTTGAGTTTTCTTTGATTTCAGCTAGTTCTTCATAAAAAGTGTATTCTAATTCATTGCCGCAATGCATGGCGTGAGCTTCATTCGTTGTAAATAATAAGATAGATTCAAGAGGGTGTTGTTTCATTGCGAAATCTGTTAACGACATCCATATAATGGATGTAATAATAAATATTCGATAAAACGTTTCGTGTCAACATGGCCACCATCAACTTTTTTTTTTAAATACGGACCTGTCGTTTTTATTACAAATATTGATAGAGCGATAAATTCACAATCCAAGGGTATATCACATTTGATATAGAAATCCCTTTTTGGCAAGGAATATGTATGTTGAACTATATCCGAATCGTCGTATTCCGAACATCCAAATTTTTAGACGATTAGAAAGAAATTTGAGGGACTATGGTGCATTTGACAGAAAGAAAACAAGAAAATGTATGGTTACTGAAAGTGTGAGAAATCAAACAAATGTTATAGGTAAGCAAATATCACCACATAAAAATTTACACAGTGAAAACTTTTTTTTTCAATTTAGGATTGGCCAGTTTACGAGAAATTGCCCACGAAATGGGGATTTCTGTAAAATCCACCAGAACTATTTTGATAAAGAACAAATGTCAATACTACAGGATACTGAAAGTTAATCACCTCAATGAAAGGGATTACGAAAGGAGAGTCCGATTTGCGAAGTGATTAAGACGTAGAAATAGGAAAGTTGAAAATATTTGTAAAAAGTAATATGGAAGGACGAATTAAATTCACCAACAATGGTTGGTTCAACAGAAAGGTCCATTATTGGTTTAATAATACAAATGAACATTTACATAGGGAAACCAATTTCCAAGAAAGGTTCGAAATGAATGTATGGTTGGTCCTTTCTTTTACGATGATCATTTGAATAGTAAAGTGTATCTTCATTTTCTATTCAATGAATTCGATGGCTACTTAGATGAATTGCTACTGAATATACGCCATGAAATACAATATTTTCAATCGGGTGGCGCTCCTACCCATAACACAACAATAGTAAGGGAACATTTAGATGCAATATTTCCAAGAAAATGGATTGGAAACAATGGACCAATTAACTGGCCAGCTCGATCCCCAGATCTTACCACATTAGATTTTTTGTCTGGGGATACATAAAGGATGAAGTGTTTTCAACAAGTACAGATATCGTCCATCTCAAATAAAAAATGAAAGATGCATGTATTAGTATTACACCGATTATGCTAAAAAATTGCCACAGAAATTGTCTGGACCGACAACTCATGTGCATTCAACAAAGAGGTCGTCAATTCGAGCATTTAATGTAGATTGCCATGTAGCTTTGATTTTCCGTATTGGTTTAATTTTTCCCAAAAGTTCATGATAAAATAAATTGTTTTTATGTTTGATTGTTGTCACTGATGATGATGGTTATTTCAACTGAAACGCTACAAAAATATCAAATGTGATATACCCTTGGATTGTGAATTTATCGCTTTATCAATATCTGTAAAAAAAGTAAAGTCCGTATTTAAAAAAAAGTTGATGGTGGCCATGTTGACATAAAACGTTTTATCGAATATTTATTAGTACACCGTCATAGTACACTTCGAATACAATAACATATTCCTTTTCCATTTTATGATATTCTCCGAAATAACAACTCCATTTGAAAAAAAAAAAAACAAAAAATAGCATTTTTGGTTTTCCTCGTATACCTCGAGAAGGGCGAGAGTCCCCGTAGATTTTATTCAACCATTGTATTGTTCCCGATGACAGTTACTTTTTTTCCCATTTAATCGTCTTCGTATCTGTTACAGTTTAGAATATTAGAATATAGAATTGTCTCATTCAGCATCTTTCATTGTAATGTCCGAGATTACCTACCACAGATAAGCGACAAAGACGGCCATTATATGTCCCTTTTTCGTAGACGCATGCATCGACTTGGTTGTCTCCACGTCATTCTCGGGCTTAGTTGTCTCCATTAATCTGTGAGCACTGAGCAAACATGATGAGGTAGGTACTTAGTTACAAAAGGTACCGACCTAGCTCTGTATACATTAAAATTATGCTATTTAAGCAAGAGTTTTCAGGAGATAATTAGTTTTGAAGAATCAATCGTGAGAGAAACAGTAGTTGTGTGTTTTTGAATCGACACTAGTGACAATCTTCGAGTGAAATTCTACGAGTTAAACTAATATCAACATAAAACTAGATTTTGTGTGTATTTATAAGAAGTGAAAATCGAAATGCCTGGTTACTATCGTGTTTTCCACGGTTGTTCAGCTAGAACCGGTGAAGGAACGAGTATTTTCAGATTTCCCCAAGACTGTGAAAAGTAAATATTTTTATACGTCTTGGGAAATATGTTTGGGAAATGTATTTCTAAACTGATAGTGATGAGAAAAAATTGAATTTGCTATATTTTAAAAGTAAATTACTGACTATTTTCAAAGTTAGATTTTCGAAATATGTGACGATGAATGGGAATCTTGAATATACTTTCAATAAAATAATTAAAATTAAATAGATCTGTTTATAAAAGAAAAATACAAAAGAACAACTTCAAAACTGATATTATTTCTTCCTACAGGGCAAAAGTTTGGTTGGAAGCTTGCAGTAGGCAAGATTTACTACCAAAAATCGATTCACTTCACAAAAAATACAGAATTTGTGAGCATCATTTTGAAAGTAGGTACATATCAAAGAGAATTGTGAAAAATACATTACTACCTGAAGCAGTACCGACAATATTTCCACCCATTTTAAAAACCGGAAAAGACCAATCTCAAGTACCTGACAGAAAAGTGATCATTCTGCCAGGTATGTAACGTAGGTACTTTATCATGGAAATTGAGACTTAATCCTTTTTTCAGATATCACAATTGTTCCAGCCTCAAAGTGTTCTTTTGTGAAAAACGCAAATGATGAAATGCCTTCATTCTCCTTGTCCGTAGATGGTAAGTTTATTTTTAATTTTACTAAGTGGTTACGCCATTTGAATTTTATATTTTATGTAAATTACACCTTGTAATGAGCACTCTCTTATTCAGGTTTCTTTCCTGACCAAAAATTCGATTTTTCTGAGTAGATAAGCAGATTTATTTTTTTTGTTCAAGGTCCAAGTACTTCTCGAGAAGTTGGTTTGCAGAATGTTTCAACCTGCAGTGTAAATGTGGAATGCGAAGAAAGAATTTCACCACCTCTACTTTCGCCATCTACTTTCACTCAAACTGAGTTGAAATTAAGCAGCAATACTCCACGAAAACGAAGATGGCGAAGTAAATTGAAAATTTGAGGGAGGAAATCAAAAAGGGGTCTAAGGCGACAACCGGTTTATCAGTGAATACGTTTTTAAAAAGGTGTGATGCGTTTCTTGAGAATCCTTTATTGAAAGTGATAAAATCGAATGTTGTACAAAAGAACAAGAAATCTATATCTCACAGATATTCTTCATAAGTGAAGCAGTTTGCTTAGATCAACTACTTTTCAAGTTCTAGGAATTATAGACATCTTAGCAAGTTATTGACTCTTGAAAAAATAAAAAGATTAACCGAAAGTAACAATTTTAATAAACAAAATACTGAAATTACAAAAAAATAACATACAAGCTACAACCAGAAAATAAAAAATTGAAATATTAATAAAAGCTGAAAATTAAAAAATATTATTAACAAAAAAATAAATGAAAAATAAAAATTAAAAGATTCCAAACCAAGTTACGTCACGACGTTTCGATTGTTAGTATAGTTAGTTAGTTAGGTGATAACTGGACTTATTCCTCCGAGATCAGACTATTTATAGGTCATTCAGGTGCTTTCACCTATCCCCTCTTTCCTCTTTCCGCTTCATTGGTTTTAGCGGGAGATGACCGTTTGGTTTGGTTTATTTTCTGGTTGTAGCTTGTATGTTATTTCCTTGTAATTTCAGTTTTTTGTTTAATAAAATTGCCATTTTTGGTTAAAATTTTTATTTTTTCAGAGATTTCAAATCAATTTATATTATATTAGACAATGGAAGTCCGAACTGATGATATTGATTGATTATGTCTTAAGCTCGTCAACCTTAAATCAATGCTCAGTCCATGAAATTCCTAATCATTCATTCCAGATCATAAATATCATAACTGTTAAGATGGCAAGATGGCCGCAAGTGAAGAAGTATCTATCTTTAAATGCTGTAAAAATAAGCCATTCAGTCACTATATTTGCACAAAATGTAATAGTGTTTTCCACAAAAGCTGCCTACCAAGGTACAGAAAGTTGAAGAGGTTATTGGGAAATAAGATAATATGTTGTTCTGAACAAACCTTTGATGAATCTAACCAGGACACAGAACACAGTGTTTTAAAGAAAACAATCCTTGATTTACGTGAGGACAATGAAATGAAAAATAAGCATATTAAGGATTTAAAGAAACAATATGAAATATTTGTTGAAGAGGTCATGAGAAATGAAACCGAAATGAATAATTTACTTCAACAGCAGGAAAATATAATAGCAAAACTAAAAATGCAAATTGAGAAAGTAAAAAACAAACCATCAAAAAATGTAGACACTCAAACAGATAGCCAGGTAAAAACAGTAAATAAAGGAATTTCTACTGACTCATCCCTATGGGAATTCAGTGGCGTAGCCAAAACAAAAACAATGTATTCCGATACTTCGGTTTCTGATGAAAATGTAAAGAGAGATCGTAGAAGTGAAATGACAAAGAAGAAGAACAAACAGATACGAAGTTCGGAGGCAGTAAATATAAGAAAAATTAATTTAAAGAAGAGAATCCTGTTTATTGCTGGGAATTTTGGACGAGACATGGCAGATTTCTTCAGAAGACAATTAAATGACAAGTATGTAATAGAGTCATATCTGAAGCCTAACTGTAAAGAAAGTGAACTTATAACAACCGCAATAAATAATAGCAAGGATTTCACAAAAACTGACATTGTTATTATCTGGCCGAACAACACGTACAAATTTCCAGTGTCTCTCGTGACATGTCTCTCGAACATTAAGTTATACAAATTTCCTAATTATTACACAGCCCTACAGACTTGAGGCGGAAGATATTATTAATGATAGAATATACAGAAATAACCTAGCTCTTCTAAAGGAATCTCTCAATATTAACCTAAAATCAAATATAGTGGAGTGTAATAATGTGCTACAAAAAAGGAACTATCAGCGAAACGGTAGAAATATTAGAAGAATTGGAAAGTGACATGTCTGTAAATTGATATCAGGTCTTCTTGAACAAAAATATATCTCAACAAGGGAAATGAACAGTAATTCTATAAACTAGGAAATAGTACCTGAATCATCAGATAGGGAAGTCCAAGAATATAGTCAGATCTCACTTGCTACAGAATTAAAAGACATCGAAACCAGGAAATTCAATACTGAAGATTATTTTTTATATCATCTCCAGGACCAAGAACACATCCATAGACGAAGTTCCAAGAATCACATCAAACATATTAGTCAGCAAATACACTTCAATAACATTTCCTCATAAAAACAGAAACTTCGTCAATGTATCCACTTTAAAGGTTTTTACTTCGATTCATCAAAATGTAAATGAATTATATAAGAGTACAGTAGTAGATAATTATTTTAGTGATCATCAAAATGCTCAAGTGATCTATATTGATACCAACTCACATGAAGTTACAGAAACAAAACCTCAACAGCAATTCAGAGACCTTAGTAATAAATTCAATATTGAACACTTTATCTCATTTTTGAGGCAGGAAGATTGGAATGATATGTAGTATATGTGTGGGGGTAATGCAAACGAAAAATTTGAGATCTTTTTTCGAACTTTTAAATATTACTTCGAAATTGCTTTTCCTCTAAAAAAAGTAAAAGAAAAACAGGCATCATATAAAAGAAAACCATTTAGGGTGTCAATATACAAGTATTTACAGACTTACAGCTGGGTATCTCGAATTCCGAGGTGAACTTACTATAATGACTGGACTATGTACCAGCTGTTGATTTTTGTAAAATCGGATCAGCGACCTTTCACCTTCTTAAACAAAAATAATTACGGCACAAGAAATTCAACATTGTTAGAAATACCAAATCATAGACTGGCTAGATCAGAATCAAGTCCAATTTTCATGGGTATCATGCTATTTAACAAATTGCCGAATCATGTTATGAAAATGTCACTAAGAAAATTTAAACCGTTCCTAAAAAACTTTCTGATTGATAAAGCCTACTACTCCATTGAAAAGTTTATAAATGACTTATCAATATAACTGAAGAATTGAGATTGTCATCTAGGGATGTTATTATATTATAATTTTACCTAGTTATAAGTTTTAATATATAATTTTACATAACTGTTCATATCCTATATATACATAATTTTTTTTCATTTTATAAGTTTATTTATATCATATTACACTGACTTGTTCTATATCACTGAGTTATGACCCAGAAGAACCAATAAAATATTATTATTATTATTATTATTATAATCAAATCCTATCAGCTGCAGAAATCTAGCACTTTAAAATTATATAGGGATAGGGATGAAGCTTACAAAAAATTTAAAAATTGTAGAACTGTGAATGACGAACAACTCAATTAAACTATTTATAAAAGTTATAGAAACGAAGTAGTTAATTTGTTGAAAATGAAAAAGGTGACTACCGCAAAAGGAAGATTAATGATTGTTCGCATGATTCAAAGAAAATGTGGAAATCTTTGAAAACACTTATCAACCCAATAATGGTCCCCTTACTGATGTAGTTGTATTTGACACACAGAGAGTGATGTTAGACCAAGACAAAGCTTAAAGCTTTAATAATTTTTTTATTGAAAGTATTCTTGACATTAAAGCAAACATTCTGGCTTCTGTACAATGGTTATATGAAACTCTTGAAGTGATTGGATGCAATTTGTCTGGTTTCAAACGTTTGTCACTGAAGGAATTGAAGTTAATTATTTCCTGTTAGGATAACAAGTGTAACACTAATATAATGAACAACAAGTTTCTCGAGAGAATCTTCTCGCTACTGGGTCACATACTTCCTGATTTTATCAATACTTCTTTGATGAGTGGTCACTTTCCAGATCAACACAAAATTAGTTCAGTTCTCCCTGTGCTTAAAGTTAACAATGAAAATAAAGCCTTCAACTTTCGTTCCATAAACACTCTGTCGCTTATAACCAAATATTCACATATATTGACAACAACCGTTTGATGAAGTTTCAATTAGGTTTTAGATCGAAACACTCATGTGAAACTGCTCTTCAACTCACCTTGTCTGAATGGAAACTGTCAATGGATGATAAATATGTAGTACAAATATGTAAATTTCAAAACAGCGTTTGAAACTATAGATATATCTATTTTGCTAGCAAAATTAGATTATTTTGGAATAACTGGTAGGGTGTTCAGAAGTTATTTACTCAACAGATATCAATGTAGTAAAATAAACGTCCTATCAAGTCAAAAAGCAATTGATACTGGCGTCTCCCAAGAGAGTGTACTTGGCCCTGTTTTATTCATACATTATTTGAATGACCTAAATTTCATTACTGACTGTGAATTCATCAACCTCTTCCCAGATGATACTCTCACTGCAGCAAGTGACTCTGTGCTGTAATTTGACTCTTGAAAACGTGGCAAAGTTTATAAACATGAACAAACTCAAACTAAATACCACTTAAACAAAAGCAATGATATTGACAACTCAATACAAATATAACCTAAATGATATCAAGTCCATCAATATTGAGATCTCGGGCGAAACTCTGGAAATTGTCGAAGAATTCAAATGCCCTTGGCTTCATTGTTGATAACACTTTGAACTTGAAAAAACACTTTCAGTATATGTGTAATTAAATTTCTAAAAAAATGTTTTTCTTTACTATAATTAGTAGACAATTGACATTCCAATCTAATTTGACTATTTATAAAATAATAATGATTGATATTCTGAATCGGATGACAGTAAAAAATAGATTACAACATTTTACTATGATCTTTATATTTAAAATACTCACTGGAAAAGCACCAATGAATTCATAACATATAACCATCAGATTCACAAATACCATACAAGAGAAAGAGATTACTTGGTTGTCCCACAAACAAACCTTGCAAGAACAATGAACTCTATATGAACTCTTGGACTATAACAAGCTTCCCAATGAAATTAAACAAAGTTACACTCTCCAACTCTTCAAACGCTCCTTATTTCAATATCTTCAAGCCCACTAGTATTCAAACTGAGTTGTTCATCGTTCTTCCATCTATTAATATCTTTACTACTGCTACTTTTCTACACACTTTCTTCTACTGTATAGGTCTTATATATTTTAGTTCATTTTGTTTAATAACTTATATATTTGAATAATCTTTATGTATATGTATTTGGAGTTCACTTTGCTAACTCTGTCAAAGAGAAAATAGATTCCCTTGATCTCCCTTGCGATATGTGTACCAAAGTTGAAGCGATGAGTCCAAACTCATGTTTTTCGCTCCAGTTACTGAACATGACATCAAG